ATTATTATTATTATTATTATTATTATTATTATAGTTATTGTTGTTATTGCTATTATTGTTGTTTATAATTTGTACAATTAACCTCCTTGTGGTTCGACCCCGGTCTTGCCGGGTTATTTATTACTTCGACACTCCTGCACTTGGGAGAAGACATCAACCTTTTAGTCGTGTCAAGGGCTTCCAAAGATAGTTTGGGGGCATGATTCTATTATAGTGGTTGTGGATCAGTTTTTAAAAATAACATATTTTATTCCCTGTAAGAAGACTTTTGATGCCTTCCATATTGCATTTTTGTTTTTGAAAGAGATTGTATGACTACATGGGCTTCCACTATCTATTACTCAGATGATTAGTACTTAAAAGTGTTTTTTTATCAAGGTTTTTATATCATTATTTTGCACTTGAAGTATCAATAACTCCTTAACTAAAGCATATTTATAATAACATATCTAATAATATAAAATACATTTAATTTATGGTAAATGTTCATTTTAAATACAGACCTATCACATAAATAAAAGGATTGATTGATGAATTTAAGAACAGAAATTAAAAGGATAAAGAGATGGCTAAACTTAGAAAAGATACGTTAGTGCAGTTTAATTGGGTTATATCTAGAGTTGTAGATCTCGGATTTAGGTCTACTTTATATAGATAGAAATGTAAGACATAGACCTACAACTTTCATATAGAGTCCAAGATTTAAAAAGGCCATTTTCAAGTCCAAATTGTAGCAACAACAAAGAAGTCTGAATCTGTCCTACAACCTGCACACTATTCAGTGTTTAGCCCATATCTAGAGTTCTAGAAGTCCAAATGACCTCTATTTTTTTCCTGGAAAGCTAAGACAATTTCCTATAACTTTCATGTTTTCAAGTGGTTTCAATTCTGATGTTATCAATGATATTTTAGGCATACAAGAGAAGATAAGAATTGCCATCAAGTCAAGAGTTGGCCACTCACTCATCAATTAGTCATCAAATCAATAGTTCCCAATTTTGGCCTATAAAAGGAGGCATTTGACATGCATTATGAAAGGAACTTAATTTGTTTTTAACATAAGTTATAATTATGAATGTTTGACGAGATTTACAAGTATTAGCATTAATCGAATAAGATAACTAATGTAATCATGTTAATAATTTATAATCTGATTGGAACCTCGTTTGTATGTGGTTTTCAATTGAATAATAAGAGTTTATACTATACTTGTTTGACATAACATTAGTAGATCCTCTAACCTTGATATTTATTGTTATCATTATTTAATCATTACATTAATCTTTCATTTTAAAGTTCTTATCAACTTTTTTTTTATTACTACAACAAATACTACTACTACTATTATTCTTATTATTGTTGTTGTTATTGTTGGTGCGTTATTGTTATCTATAATTTATGGAATTAACCTCCCTATGGTTCGACCACGGTCTTGCCGGGTTATTTATTACTTCGACACTTCTACACTTAAAAGAAGACATCAATCTTTTGATCGTATCATCAGACATGAATGTTAAGTTTGTCAGTTATTTTTGCAAGACATTATGGGCTAAGTTAGGGACAAAACTCTTTTTTTCTAGTGCCTTCCACCTTCAAACCAATAGTCAAACTGAAGTAATTAACAGAAGTCTTGGTAATCTTCTACAATGTTTAACTAATGAGCATGGAGTCAGTTGGGATTTAGTTAGCCTCAAGCATAATTTTCCTACAATAACTCTGTAAATCGAATTATAAGGTACACACCTTTTAAGTTGGTATATGGATTGCACACTAAAATACCCAGTGACACCATTTCTCTACCATTATCTCAAAAAACTAGTGAAGATGGCCTAGATTTTGCAACATTTATGTTCTCGTTCCATAGCAGCGTCAAATGTAAAATGACAAAGCAAGTGGCTAAATATGTTGAAAATGCAAATTGTCACAAAAGGGAAGTGTAGTTTGCATAAGAAGATTTAGTATTTGATAAGATTGTTAACTCTATTTTAACATATCAGTACGTCTCCAACAAAAGATAGGCCATAATAAATTCTTAGTTCAATGGGCATCCAAACCACAATTAGAAGTTGTACGGCTACATGAGAAAGAAATCCAACATTTGAATCCTCAGTTACTTCGCGATTATATTCAACAATACGTGTCTAAGACAAGTTGCTTGGGGAGTAAGGAAATTAATGCAAGTTTGGGTAACCAACGTAACGGCACTCAAGTCCAAGGCAAGCAGAAAGGTGACAGCACTCGCGTCTATGACAAGCAGAAAGCCATAATAACCGACAGGAATCAAGCTAATTGAAGTAAGGGAAAACATTCCATGAAGGCTACAATTCCAGTGATAAACGTTGACAATAAAGGAAAAGTTATCACTAATAATTAAGGATCATCTCATACTTTCAAGTGGTAGAAGAAGTTCTATAACTATCATTATTCTTATGTTAGTTGGTAGTTTTCTAGTAATAAATGTAATATGTATTTCTATTTAATTTTGAATATATATTTCTATTTAATTTTGAATGTATATCCTAGGTTGGATAGATTGTAATGAAATTCAATATCTTTGATGTGATCCAAAATAAGAGTGATTATCTTGAGTGGTATGAAACTAGTTTTCTTTTCCTCGTAATCTTTATTTTCTGCAATAAAATATAAGCTTTCATTCCCTTTATCAATTCTTTCTTCTGTTATCTTCTCTAATGGAACCAAAATTAGTGAATCTGGTTGTCTTGATATCGTTCAGCATTACAAATTTTGTCTTAAACTTGCCATTTTTACACTGAAGATTAAGTTGAACAAGCATGACAAATCCAGCTCCCTAAAATATATCCAGTATTTTCCCCCTCAACATGGCTTCAGCTTTCCTCACTTGTTTCACCGGTCCTACTATGAATACCTACATGAAAATAATCAACATTTACCCAATAGGATGACAATGAACAAATATTAAGTAAATCCTGAACACAGACCTCATGGAATATATTTTATGGCTTTGTTTTGTAAGTCTCTCTACTAAGGTTACTTTTCTTTAGATTTAAAAAAAAATAAAAACACATTATTTGACAAATAGAGTCGAACACTTCCTATTGTGGTTAAATACAAAAAATCTCAAAGCAGCTGGTCTCATTTTGCATTGACTTAAATCCCAACTTAGCTGGATTTTGTCCAACGCTAAGTTGATCACCATGCTGGTAGTTACCAACATTAGTATGATAGACTTACCTTGTCAGTTGGACCCTTTGCACCTCCAATGAAGATCTCCGCGCTGCAAAAAAAATGTACATGCAGGAAATTAAAGAACAGGAGAACTTGAATATAAAGAACATAACGGTTATGATAATGGAAGGGAGAAGAGAGACATACTTGCAAGATTCCTTTACTGACAAAATGGATGCTCCTCGTCTTCCAATAACACGTCCCATCTTTCCTGGGGGAACATCAAGAACAGAAAGGATTTCCTCCTCAGGAGCATTATCCTCCTCGATGATGAGGTTATCTATGAGGAGAAGGCACAGCTAGATCAGTATTCAATTAAGAAGCAGAGCATATGTATACTTCCAAAACAAAGTCCATCCAGAATAGGTTAATGTTTATTTATTCACCCTTAATTTAGGGTGCACGCTGTTACTGGTAGCTTGCTCATACATAATCCATTCTTTTCCAAAATTTAGACTCCCATTCATGCATTGTACTTGAACTTTAAATCTCCTTCCAAATCTATACATGGTTAGTGACATTATATAGTGGAAAATAACAAACTTACTCAATTGGAAATCCTTCCCCATTGTTTCCAACAATGGAAACCCATTGTTATATCAGATACAATGTAGTGCCAAACTCTCCTATTTAAAGAGTTTGGCAGCACTTCCATCTTCTTTAATTAAATTTTTTCAATACAGCAATTAAAAGCAAGGCAGATGAACAAATTTCAAAGAGTTGGGTAATACAATTCCTCAAACATAGTGAAACAAGAGTAATGTACAGTAATAGGTTGGTAAAACATAAAACCTGGAATCGGAGGGATATGGGGCCAATCAGCATAATCATTCTCATTGATGCAGAAACATCGACAATACAACACCCCACGAACTGCAAGATACCATAAAGATCTCTGGTTGAGCTTTTCCATCATCTTATAATAGATGCGGAGAAGAAAGCGAACATCATCAGCAGCTGCATGGATCATCATTTCAGAGAATGGCCTGTATGTCCAGAACATAGGATCCTGAAAACAATGGAAAGACAAAATGATGTAAGGAAACACTAGCTGTAAGACACCGCACAGTAGTGTTGCAGCTGAGTGGGTGTGCAGTAGCTGGACAAATTTCTCTTACACTCTTAGAGAAGATGCAAGTACAAATAAACACAAAAAAGAAAAGGAAAAAGCATAGTCAAAATCATAAAAAGAGAAAACCACAACTTGGTTATTGTAGTTTATCCAAATTACAAATTGATTTCCTCTATTCTGTTTGAATATTTTCAAATCTTAAAAAATGGTCAATCAAGTGATTGTTCTGGAAATCCCATTCTGAAGTGCATTGCATATCAGTGATCATAACGGTCTTTTCAGAAAAAATCCACTTGATTGATCATTATTTAAATGTACAAATATCTTGTGTGGAAAATATTAGAGTGCAAGAACACATAAAGTTTTTGATTAAGTAAAAATACTGGTGGTTATCTCTTAACAAAATGTTGAGATGTATTTCTTTTCTAAATTTGTCTCATTAAGGTCACTGGTATGATCTAATAGCTTGTGAAGGCTTCTACTGTACCTTCAACTAACCATTAGAAAAGAAACACCTTCACTTGCCAGTAAAATTTAACAAGACAAGGGACTGACGCTCTGGTGAGGTTCAGATGGTAAAGAAGTCACTTGTCTAAATGCCAAATCCCAGCACATCACAAAACTCTAAATTGTAAAGCAGAAGCATTCTTCACCAATCTAGCAACAGAAAGATAGCATCTTAGGGGTGCAAACTTGAGAGGCAAATGTGTTCAAAGACAGAAACAGTAGAACCAACCTAGCAACGGAGAGATATCTTATTAAGGGTGCAAACTTGAGAGACAAACGGGTTCAAAGACAAAGAAAGAGTGGAAGGAAATGTTCGTGGCTAGTGCCACTTACTAGTTTATCTTCCCAAGACACCAAAATGTTTTATAGAAACAAAACAAAGGCTGCAGGGAATAACTTTTTCAATAAAATTCTCTCCACTTTACAGGAGATAGGGATAGTGAGCATGTCAGATGTTTAAACTAACCTGTCGAAGGAGAACACGAACCTCTTCCTTCTCCAGATAAGATATGCCTGCATTCAAATTCTCAAGATAAGTCTCATAAATACAATGGATAATACAGGAATTCAATTTTCTTGCCAACTAGATACCACAAAGTATGTGCAGTTAAAAGGAAAAGCAAGCTGATATAAACATTAGTAGCTGAAGGTTTATGATATAAACAACATGAAGAAGCTTCTGAATACCTTAATTCTCAATCTATGTATACTCTAGCTTTTCTGTAAACCTAGTCTATTCAGGAATTCATTATTTACAAATTAAGGTTCATTAAGGAACTAGAATATTGATAGGAGTTTCATTTTACTTGTGGTTTTCATTTTCTTATTGAAATTTCTATCTCCATTCAGTTTAGTACTATTAGGGGCACAAGAGCACATGTTCTATGTCATGGAAAGGACTTGAATGATGTAATTATCAGTATTTTGCTTTAGTTTGAAGGCTGTGACTTAGGGTGTTTCTTTTCTTCTTTCCTCTCCATAAATGCTATTTTCTTCTTCTTCTTCCTTTTCTTCTACTTCTTTCTTGCTAAAGTAACCTCAGTTACTATTGACAGCTATGGTGAAAACCAATTTTTTTTTTTTTCTAAATTCCTTCTCCAAATCTAGCTCATCATGAGTCCTTTTTAGGACACAAATCCAAAGTTTTCCTGCATCAATTTAACTTAACAAGTCAAGTAAGAACACTCAAATATTACTCTCATATGGAATCCACTTTCAATTACAGAACAGAAACAAGTGGTGAAAACTGTTAGGAAATGCCAGGGGAGTGAAAATAAGGTTGCAGTATTTAACTATTTATCAACTTTCTTATTAAGTGTTAATCAAAAGTAATCATAAGGTCTATCATACAACAGCATTCCCACTCAACAAGCAAACATAGTACATAGATAATGAAGCTTAATGCTCTTATGATGCAGACGTTAACAAAAATTGCCCCTGCCCCTACATAAATCAGAAGCCTCTTCATAGTAAGAATTGTGTCTAGGAGCTGCTTCTCAATCCCAAACAGCTTTAACCCCATCAGCCAGTTGCAATATGATTGCAATTGAATGCTGAAAATTTCAAAAGACCTTTTCCCCAATCTCTTTCTTTTGTTTTTGTTTTTGTTTTTTCTTTTTCCTTTTTGACAAAGAGTAGTTAAAATTTCAAGACACCCACGCGCATAGTTAAACTATAGGCATTAATGCAACACTAGTCCTTTAGCATGAGAGAAGGCAGGAAATGATGTCAAGATTAGGGAGTTATCATCCAAATGTTTTATCAAAAACTTTTAGCAAGTATGGAATATATTCACACAAAAATCAAATTATATGACCTGAAACGCACAATATAAATGAATACCACAACATATAAAATACCACAATAGCGTGGATCTGCAAGGAGGCTAACAAATGATATATAGTCATCAGGCAATCTAGCCCGTCCTTCTTGCTCCTCTATCTGAGAATAAGCAATCTACATGCAAAATGACAAATACATATGCACATTAAAATGACAGATCCGGATTGATAATTCTTAATGCAAGTACATGCAATTTCCATCAAATTATAGTGAACAACTGAACACTCAAATGCTGACTCAGAAAACAAAAGAGAGGCATAGCTGCATCAATTATAATCAATCTTTGCTCAAAGCAATTAGTAGAGACAGCAATGCAAACCTAAAGCTAAACTGAAAGAAACCCCAGACTAGAACATCAGTTCCATCTATCAGTTACTCACCTGGGTATCAACAACATTGTGCAACTTGATGCCAAACTGAAAATATAATGCCTACAAAATAACAATTGATATTTAACTACGTAAACGAAATGTTGGTAATTGTGCATATCATAAAAGCTAGTACGGTATAGAATAGAATGGAACATGCTCAATTAGAAACCTCGCTATCCCGTTTGCAGTCATGGATAACTTTTGTGATGTGACTAGACTCGAGCGCAGGTTTACATGCTCTGATGAGAGACTCTCCACCCTTAATGGCATCGACCAAATATATAGCATCCGGAAAAGCAAGCTGCCAAAATTATGAACTTGTGGATATCTCAGTTATTATGGGTGCAGAATAAAGGGTAAATCATTAGTTTACCTGCATAATACAGAGAGTTCCATGGCGACAAAGATCAACACCTTCACAGTCAAACCCAATGATCAATTGCTTCGCGGCTGAAGGGTTACGGAACTCGACCGGAAGTTGAGAAGGCACGGTCACAACATGTATCGGAACCTCATGATCTGGTGGTTTACCATCGCCTGCTTTGCTTGCATCAATTTTTATCATAAAGATTGCAAAACGAAAGCTAAATTATATATAAAAATTAACTCCATTAAGCCTGTAATTAATCGGTGATTTATCTGTTAAAATCAAATAATCATAAATTCATTTTGATCACGTAAACCTTATAAAATAATAATAATAATAACAGCGACAACAACGTAGAATCGCAAGGGCAAAGATTAAATTAGTGGATTAAAAAATGGTAAAAGGGGAGGAGGAATTACCGGGGTCGGAAGGGAGAGGAGTGTGAGTCTGGTGAGAAGAGGACGAGGAAGCCATGTGATTGAACCATCAAGTTCTATGCTTAATATTATTATTATACTTTTGAAAGCCCCCGTACCCGTCTTTTCTTTCTCGTTGGAAATGGAAAAGGAGTTAGAGAGCTACTGTAGTTATTGAGGTGTGAAGGATAAAGGAAAAAGCCCAGGCGAGAAATCAGTAAATTTGGGCTTGGACAGAGAGCTCATTTGGGTCCACAAAGGTCACACCATATAAGGGCTTTCTATTCCTTTCTTTCTTGGGTCTATAAGGGCCCCTTACAACGTGCGACTTAGTTTCTAGTAAATGCATAATATGCCCGCCTTAAGCTAGAAATTATTAGAAAGTTTTTTTTCATCGATGTGTTTTATGTTTATACTATTTTTTTTCATGATATCACGAGTAGTTTTCAAAATAATTTATTAATAAAATTCTAAAACATGTGGGACTTTTAATATAAATGTAATGCATCAAGAGATAATTAATATTTAAAAACTATGAATAGTACTGGGTTTTGTTTTCAAGTAGAACCTAATACTGCTTTCATCGTGGACAACTCTGTAGCTTCCTGAGGGGCGTTCTTCAATTGTTTTTTAGTAAAAAATTATGGCTCATAATATTGTCTTCTCTATCAAAAATAATTAAGTTTAGTTGCAAAGCCAAATTCAAAATACTTATAAAAAAATATTAAAAAAAAGATCAGGTTTAATTGCTCAGCTAGACCCATCGATATTGGGTCTAGCTGGGCAGCTAAATCAAATATCCTTCAAAGTAGCTACAAGACCATACCCAAGTCTAATAAGTCTAGATTGTAGTCAGATCCAAAACTCTTGATTATGTCATTTATGAGGGCCCAAATATATTATTGTTAATATTAAAAATATTATTATTTATATTATAATGTTATTATTTGTATTATAATTAATATTATTAATATGTTAATTGATAAATTCAAAAACAAAATATTGAAAAACAACCATATATTTGATTTGAAAAGTAAACTTAAAAACTATTATTATTATTATTATTATTATTATTGAAAAAAATATTATTAGTATGGAAGAAAAATCATAATTGTTTCTTAATAGATTAAATAATATATAAACTTGGATTAGATAAATTATATATTTTTGTTAATATTATAAATAATATTATTGGGTCTGGCGTTGTAGCCAGACCCAAGGCTTTTTAGTATGTGTGTGTATATTCGTGAGCGAAAAACACTATAGTGGATATAGACTCATTGCACTTTGAATGAAATTGTAGTGCTTGAGGGGCATTATCTTTTTTATTTATAAGTTAGAAAGGGCTGTTAGGTCATTGTAGCATAACCCAGTAGCATTAAGTCCTATTATCACAAGGATCCAATAGCTTTGGATCTTGCTGGACCAATTAAAGTTAGGTTCTACCCCCAACAGAACTCAAGACTTTAATTTTTTTTCATACGAAAAATAGAAAATAAATAGAAGAGAATTTTTTTCATTTGAGGTTAGGTAGGATTTTCTTATTAAAGCATATTTGTTTTTTTCTTTTAAAAATATTTTTTAAAATAAAATAAAAATTATTTTTATCTTTACTTC